CTATTGCTAACTACAGAACAACTCACTTGCGGCTAATCCGAGCGCCGTCTGCTACAAGGCTGGTTGAGACCGCTGTGCTTTTATAACCTACAGCCACAGAGCTGCTACGTAGTACTTTTCTTAGCTACGTAGCATTGCTCTCATTAGCCACTGGCTAAAAACGACTCAAAATAAACGTGTTCTATACTTTTGAGCTGAAGATGGTGCTAGACTGACGTTTTTAGACAGAATTTAGAGTTTTCAAAGAAAATGCATCAAAATGCAAAAATAATAACTACACGTCTACAACACTATTAGATGCTCATTTATACTAGTTATCAGCTAAAAAAAATTGATTTTGATGTGACTTGCTCTTTTAGGCGGACCCAGGTGGTCTGATAATATGGCATGAAACATAACATAAAGTTGATTTAAAATAATAATTGAAAAAGATGATTGAAGTCAAATTTATTCACAACCATGAAGTTTATTTTAAACAAATTTTGCTGTTGATTTTTTTAAATCAGAAGGTTGACAATGATATACTGCAGGCCTATCTTTTTAGGCCTATAGGCCAGCCTACTATCAATTGTATTGTCTTTTACTCATGATAATTGCTTTTATGGTATTTACTGGTTGTATTATTACGTTGGACCCTATTTTTAACATCTTGCTTCTGTAAAAATTAATGTTTTTGTTTGCTTAAAAATCTAAAGATTTATACTGTGAATTCCAATGTGCACAACCCCAAAAGGTGTAGTTGTACTTGAATGATACCGTAAAATTTAAGGTTTTCAGACATTTTAAACGTTACAAAATTTTATTGTAAAATGTATGTATATTTATTTATTTTCACAGAAAATAATTATAATTTCAACATTTTATTACAGTAAAAAACACAGTTTTATCCCGTCTCACAATTAACGGTTATTGAACCTATGTAATATGGTAAAATGAAGTTTTTGGTTGTACGCTCCATTACCGTTGGAATTTGACAGTGAGGAACAGTTTCCTCGCTGGACTCGCAAGATCCCTCGAGTTTCTGCCATCTGCAATTAAGCTAAAAAGAAGGAAATCATTGTTTGATCTCATATATGTTGTTGTTCCTCTCTGCCGTGATTAAAGCCATGAAAAACACACTGCAGCCCTGCTGGAACAATGCTGGGAGTAAATAATATGAAATGCTTTGCTGAAATAGTCTTTTATTTTGAAAATTACCAGGGAGTTTACACTGAAACCGTATGTGGTTTTCTGTCTAGCCCTGTGTCAACTGTGGAAATTGACGCGTCCCAGAAGCAGCTTGGAGCAAAAATAGAGCCCGACCCTACCCTTAGCGGTGTGTTGCAGCGTGCTGCCTCTGGGTCACGCCTGACAATGTCCATGATGAATCACCCCCATAGAATATAATGGATTCTAATTTGAAGCAGTGCCATTCTGCGCTGCTGATGCTTCCCGTGTGAAGTAGGGGTAACTCATTAATGTTTCTGATCAGGCGTCTCGCCTCTGATTTGCTAACAGCAATCTGCCACCATTCACTTTGCAACTTTGATGTTTTATCTCCACAAATAACACAAGCCTGAAAGGGTTCTGCCATGTTGTGGAGTTGCCAATGCTAACAGTTAGCTTCTACTAGCTGAGACACACTGTGCTCCCTCCTGGATGCTAACCCAACAGCCTCCCTCAGGTGTGAGCCAAGATGTGTGAGTCAATGAATGCTAATTTGCAGTGTGACGCAGATCTGACAGGCTTTTTCTGACCTGAGCATTTCTCTGTTATTCTATTAATGCAGGAGATAGGTGTGGAAGACTATTTTCATGTTCAGCCTGTATGTGAAACTCATACTTACCGATCTTATTTCAAAACTAACAAGTAAAATGTGGTTTCCCTGTGAAGCTGCTCTTCAAAGAATTATAAACTCAAACTCAAACTTTATTTGTATAGCACTTGTCATATACAAAAAATACAGCGCAAAGTGCTTTACAGGTTAAAATCACCCCATATAACTCATAATCCCATCACTTTCCCAGAAATATAAAAATAGCTATGACAGTTGCATTCCCCCAAAATCCCACAACCCATTTCCTAAGGAACACACACACACACACACACACACACACACACACACACACACACACACACAAAACTTTAAAAAAATTAAAAATAAATAACATATCATAAGTGAACACTAGGCCAAGTTCAGATGGGTTCGATAACGAACGACATGCCATCAGGTGAGTCATCTGCCTCGGTAATAGTCGATCGACGGCAGCAGCAAAGGCACCAGCCCAGGGCTCCTATCGAGGTAGGGCGGGCAAAAAAACCCCACCGCCTAAGCACTCCCCAAGGTGCGCCCGGACTGCCACAGTCGACCACCACTCCCGAGGCAGAGGGCCCCACAGAGGAAATCACTGGCACTAACAAAAACGTAACGTAAAAAAAGAGCTATTATGGATAGTAAAATAACTAAAAAGTGATTAAAATATAGTAAAACACTAAGACATAAATGTCTAATAAAACTAAAATATAAATAATAAAATTAAAATAAAACAAGCAATGCAGCTAAAAACAGATATCAGTTAAAATCTATGGTAAAAAGGTGAGTCTTAAGCCTGTTCTTAAAAACATGAACATTCTCTACGACCCTGAGGTCCTCTGGCAGCCTGTTCCAGAGACGAGGGCCATAAAATTGGAAGAACGCCTTACCGTGGGTATGTGTCCTGACTTTTGGAATCAGAAGGGGACAGCTGCCAGAGGAGCACAGAGGTCGCAAGGGTTCATCAAGTAAAAGAAGTTCCAAAAGATAAGAAGGCCTAAGACCATTGAGACACTTAAAAACCATTAAGAGAACTTTAAAATTGATCCTGAAACATACGGGGAGCCAATGCAGCAATTCTAAAACTGGTGTAATGTGCTCCCACCTCCTGGTCTTCATCAGGACACGTGCTGCACAGTTTTGTAAAAGTTGTAAGCTGGGAAGACCAGAAAGCAGGGCATTACAGTAGTCTATTCTACTGGTGATAAAAGCATGCATCAGCATCTCAGTATCGGCCCTAGTGAGAGTAGGGCGGACTCTGGCAATGTTCTTTAGATGATAAAAACCTGTTTTAGTAATGCTTTTTATGTGTGGGATAAAAGTCAGCTCAGAGTCGAAAGTCACACTCAGGTTCTTCACTTGTGAAGATGGATTAAAAGACAAAGATTGTAATTTCAGTAAAAGTTTCTCTCTCTGGGCCTCAGGACCAATAACAAAAACTTCAGTTTTGTCCTGGTTGAGCTAGAGAAAGATCTGTGCCATCCAGGATTTGATGTCTAAAATGCAGTTAAAAGTGCATCCATTGGCTGTGTGTCATCAGGAGACACAGAGATGTACAACTGTGTGTCATCAGCGTAGCTGTGGAAGTTCACCCCATGTCTCCTGATGACCCCGCCAAGAGGGAGCATATAAAGGTTAAAAAGCACTGGGCCTAAAATTGAACCCTGGGGCACACCACATGTAATCCCATGGACCCTCGAGGAACAGGTATCTAAACTCACCATAAAAGTCCTGTCTGTGAGGTAGGATGTGAACCATCTGTGTACAGCACCAGAGAGGCCGATCTGTTTTAAACGAGTTAAAAGAATTGTGTGGTCTAGTGTGTCAAAGGCAGCACTAAGATCCAATAGTACCAACACCATTATCCTTTGGGCATCTTAACTTACTCTAAAATCATTTAAAATCTTCAGAAGGGCCGTGTCTGTGCTGTGGTTCAACCTACAACCAGACTGAAATTTCTCTTGGACATTATGAGTATTGACAAAATCACTAAGTTGAATTAAAACAAGATTTTCTAAAATTTTGCTTAAAAATGGAAAGTTGGATACTGGTCTGAAGTTGTTTAAATCATTAAAATCCAAATTGCTCTTCTTCAACATATAATTAATAGAATATAATTGTCTTGACTAATTCTGATTAACTTGAAAACCATGTGTCTGGATATGTACTAACCACGACTAATGTGCTCACAGGAATTCACCCGTCAGAAAAACAAAAATCTGAAATTGGAGTTTGAGATTGGCTGATTCTTATCACAGCAAATTATCTGAATATCTGCAGAAGTGCTTGAAGTTTTTAAGAGGAGAAAGCTGGACCGTGTCTTCACACGTTGCTTGGCTGGACAGTAAAAACGTTGAAAGCTAGCAGATAGAACCACATCAAATGTAGCATTTTAAACAGAGCCACCACCATATATTTGTGGCCAACTATTATTGAGTAAATTCCAACACAAATCAGTCTTTACCACTATGATACAGCTAGCAATATTTTAGTGGTTACCAGGAACCATGGACGTAATTTTGGGGGGGAGACAGGGGGGACATGCCCCCCCCCCCCCCCACTTTTTCCAAAGTCAAGTTTTGACCCCTGCACTTTTTACCATCCAAAAGCAATATTACGCTATATTAAATTGACCAAGCAGAAAACAACCGTTTGTGTTGAAGCCGGTTTTCCATTAGAGCATACCGTAAAGACCCCCCCCCCCCCCCCCCCCGAGTCCCCCCCACTTCTAAAGTGAAAATTGCGTCCATGCCAGGAACGAATCAGAGTGGCCAGCGTGACTCACTAATTACTGGATCTGGACAGTGAACAATGAGTATTTAAAACCACTTTGCTATCAACAGCTGGGCTTAACTTGGCAGCGCCATATTGTGGTCTTGAATCATGTGAAAACTCACCATTGTCTCCTTCCAACTTTGCATTTTGACCATTTCCAGTTTTCTTTATTCTAATCAGCGGTGATAAAACTTAAAACTTTGCAGCCATTCTGTAATGACATGGCTGCAGTTCTGATTTTGAGAAGCTCATCCTATCGTGTTACCATAATTACAATCAGGATGTGTGTGCCTTTTCACACTTGGCTGCAAGTAGAAATAATACGATGGGAGCCTTGCTTGGCAAAAACACCCCCTACTTGTTATATGAGCTATTTGTTTTCCTTTCTGCATTGAGATTACAGGCCTGCTTGTCCCCCTCTCTCACTGGACAGGCTCTTTGGGGTGACGGGGAACTGTGCAGCCTGCAGTAAGCTGATCCCTGCCTTTGAGATGGTGATGAGAGCCAGAGACAACGTCTACCATTTAGACTGCTTTGCCTGTCAGCTCTGCCGTCAGAGGTAAGATTAGGGGAGCAATTAGCCAGGGAGATCAAATTCAGTTGACGTATCTGGGAGCTGTAGCTCCTAGGTCATTATCAGTATATTACTTGTGCACCATAATCAGAACGTGGTTAATCCGTATCAAAGAAATACTTGAAGGGTTAAAGGCTTGAAGAGTTTATCAAGGCACAGTTATGCCAGAATAATTTTCTAATTATCATAGCTGTAGATGTAAGCTGTGTGAAAATACGCCTGCTTTAGTCCCGCGGGACTTCGTGATTCACTTCAGGTCCAGCAAAAACTGAGACTCGGTTTCATATTGTTTTTATTTCTCTCTGCAGATTTTGCGTGGGAGACAAGTTTTTCCTCAAGAATAATATGATCCTGTGCCAGCTGGACTATGAAGGAGGCCATTTTAATGGAAGCACTGAGAGGCAGCCACAATAAGAGGTAATGATCTAATGACAGTAAAATTCAATTCTAGACAGCTGCACTGACAGTTTAAACTAATCCATGCATGAGATTTCCTGACAAGCATATCCCAAGTATGGGATTTGATACCAGAACCTCCTGAAACTTTACTTTGTGTCTGAAAGCGTAGAAACTCGGCCTTATCTGTAGATAAAAGCAGCCGAAACCACCCAAAATTACAATCACATTAAAAACTTTGGCATTTTGTTTCATTTTGGAAACCAGCTCAGTTTTTAGAAAATTTTAACATAAACGTGTTTCCTGTTAGAGCCATCGACATGGTCTACACCACCATATAAAAACAAACCAGAAATATTCAGTTTGCGTGTTCTGGCGTGTTGTGTTTTTGGAACCAGGGTCTCCACACCTGGGATGTGGGGACTCACCTGCACTTCTTCATGGTGTTTTTTAAACATCAAAAAACTAATTACAGCTAATGCCATAGAAAATTAAAACTTGACTCAGCCAGCTGCAAGTTCATCAGCTTAGATGTTATTTTTCCAGTAAGGACAAGCATTTATTTATTTAGTCGGAGGGGCGGGGCAATGATCAGATCAAGGTGGATGCATTTTCAAGTCCAAACACGAGTGGTGCTAATCAGACAAATAGGATGTTTCAGTGGGAATTTTTGTGTATGGATGTTGGACTATTACTTGGCCCCTCTAGGATTATTGTGGCCCCTTGATGGCCCCATATCAGAAAAATTCTAGATCCACCTCTGGGAAACACAGCATATGTTTGGTGATGATGATGGGTGGAACAGGGACATGTTAATGGAATAAAGGCTTGTTTACTAGAGGAATAAAGACTTGTTTTTGTTTTCCCTTCACCACTTTTTTATCAGCACTGTAATATTTTCTAAGTGCTAAAACCTGTACTCAGGATTTATGATGTCAGCACCAGAGCACTAAGTTAAATAGACTTCACTTTGTTTAATTTCTAACCTAAAACATTATTTTTTACACTTTGTCTGTGAAAGTGTTCACATAAAGTAGTGAATGCACCAGAAAGAAGGGAGAAGCTCTGATTTACGCTCTGAATTCCAGCTATTAAGAGTTGAACTACCTCAGGAAACATGACACCACATGCCCTGTCATTAAACTGGCTTTAGGATATTCTTTAAATAACTGATGAATCATCCCATGAGTTTATGCCTGGGACCTGGCATAAACTTGACTGGTTGTGATGGAGGCGGTCAGTTGGGAGGGTGTGTGGTTGGAAGAGAGATGAAAATAAATGCAGCAAATGCCAAAGAATCCATAGTTATGAAGGCTTTGGAGCACGTTGAGGTTCACTCATGCACTACAGGCACCAGCAGGGCAACACATAGTTTCAATGCTAACTAACTACAACAGCTGCAACCCATAAAATCTGTCAGACTTGTTGGAGATTTTTTATTTCTGATAAACTGAGGTCTACTAGAGTTCATTCTAGAAAGACACCAGATTCTTGAGACTTATAAAAAAAAACAGTAACATGCTAAAGGACTTCAGGGGAATCAGAGTAAAAACTCAGGTGTGTTGGACACAGGTGTTTCAAGCCTGCTTTTGGGGGTGCTGAAGCACTCCTAAATAGAATCTCAGCACCCCTAAAGTTTGAGATTTATTTATTTATTTGTTTGTTTTTCTGTTTGTGGTACCAGTAACCCAATAGAATTGCATTTTGTACTGCTTAGTTGCCCTCTGCTGGCAAAAAATAGAACGACACTGGTTTCCAACAACATTTCGAAAAGCAGGGAATACGGGGAGTTGAAAGCTGTTACTGCACTTGTGTTCTTTTTAGCCTTTTAGACGAGAAAACGTTGGTAAGGAGGAATTACATTTATAAAGTTAAAAGAGTTCCTTAGGACAAACACATCCTCTAAACTCTTCCGAACAATGTGTGTCTACGCTTTGAAAGAACGGTGAATTTACACCCTCTACAGGCCAAAAATTGAACAACACTAATTTTAACAGCAGTTGGAAAAGAGGGGAAGATTGGGATTTGCTTCCCTCTAGTGGCTGAAAGCTGTTGATGCGCTTGTGTTCTAACCTTTTAAAAGAGAATATTTTAGCCTCCTTATCTTAATGGATATTTTAAAAAATCTTAATATTTCTTTTTGTGGTTTGGGGAATATTAATATTAAGGAAGAGATGAAGTAGAAGTAGAAGAAGGAACTGGATGCTGGAGTTCCACAGTCGACACAAAAGCACCACCCATACTAGGCATGAGAGCCAGCCTAGACCTGAACCTGATCAAATTAATATTCGCAGTTACAAAAGAAGACAACGCACAGGCACTTTTAAAGGAATATGCAGACATTTTCAAAGGCATCGGCAAATTCCCAGGTGAATGCCACCTTCATCAATCTGGATGTTACATCAGTAGCATACCCATCACGCCAGGTCCCCTTTGCACTGCATGACAGGCTCAAACAAGAGCTCGACAATATGGAAAAATCCAACATCATTCGTAAAGTGACAGAGCTCGCCGATTGGGTGAATGCATTGGTGGTAGTGGAAAAACTACACAGCAACAAGTTAAGGATATGCCTTGATCCGAGGGACCTTAACAAAGCCATACAAAGACCCTACTACCCACTGCCCGCACAAGAAAATGTCACAACAAAACTAGCAGGAGCAAAGTTTTTCTGTGTCCTAGATGCCAGATCCGGATACTGGGCTATTAAACTGAGCCCAGAGTCATCTATGCTGACAACCTTCAACACGCCCTTCGGCAGATACATATTCCTACGTCTGCCCTTTGGAATGAACTCTGCTCAAGATGAATTTCAAAGGCAAGTGGATGAGACGTACGAAGGCTTACGGGGAATAACAGCCATAGTCAACGACATCTTAGTCTTAGGAAGGACAAGAGAGGAGCACAACAAAAACCTCAGAGCCATGCTGCAGCGCACCAGAGAAAGGGAGTACAGCTGAATCCTGAAAAATGCCAGATCTGTGTACCGGAAGTCAGTTACTTTGGCCACACAATATCACATGAGGGTATCAAACCAGACCCTGCAAAAGTAAAAACCATCCAGGAGATGCTGCCACGCAGGAACAAAGCAGAGCTGGAGACCATACTGGGCATGGTCAGTTACTTGGCAAGATTTGCACCTCACCTGTCTCAGATAAATGCGTCTCTGCGACAGCTTCTAAAACGAGAAAATGAGTTCACATGGGATCGGCAGCATGAGGACGCATTCACACAGATGAAACATCTAATAACGCATCACCCTATGCTTGCATTCTTTGACCCCCAGAAAGAGCTAAGACTCCAGGTCAATGCTTCAAAATCCGGCCTGGGAGCTGTCATGCTCCAAGACGAGAAACCGGTGGCATACGCATCCAAATCACTTAACAACACAGAGGAGAACTATGCACAAATAGAAAAAGAACTATATGCAGTGCTATTTGGATGCAAACGATTTCATGAATACATGTATGGCCGCAGAGTGATTGTCGAGTTCGACCACAAGCCGTTGGAAGCTATACTGCGCAAACCTTTGGCTGCAGCGCCCCCACGACTCCAGAGGATGATACTGCAACTACAGAGATATGACATACATATCCTCCACCGCCCTGGGAGGGGCATACCAGACGCAGACACCCTGTCACGTAAGTCGATACAACACCACGATAACATAACAGAAGGTTTGGAAGCACAGGTACACACAGTCACTAGGAATCTCCCAATGAGTTCAGCCAAATTGCAGGAGATCAGAGAAGCAACAACCCAAGACACACAGCTAACCACACTCAGAAACACCACTAAATCAGGTTGGTCACACGAGAGGAGACAGTGCCCACTCAGCATTCAAGAACACTGGAACAGACACAAAATTGCTGAAGCAGGTGGCATAATGCTCAAAGGTGAGAAAATAATCATTCCCCACATCCTCAGAGCTGAGATGATTGACTACATTCACACCGGGCACATGGGCATAGAGAAGAGCAAGAACCGTGCCCGTGACATCCTTTTCTGGCCTGGCATGGGAAAGCAAATAGAAGCGTCTGTGACAAACTGCCAAATATGCCAAGAGCGACGCAACTCCAATGCCAGAGAGCCACTCATCTCACACGCCATCCCTGAGAGACCATGGCAGGTTGTGGGAACAGACCTGTTTACGTGGAACACACATGATTTCATTATCATTGTAGACTAATTTCGAGATGGAAAAATGTGCCAACTGCACATCAGCTACTGTCATCTCAAAATGCAAGGCTTCATTCTCACGCCACGGTATCCCAGACACTGTAATTAGCGACAACGGACCATGCTACAGCTCCATAGAGTTTCGCACCTTCTCAGAGGAATGGGATTTTGAGCATGTCACTTCAAGTCTGCACTATCCCCAGAGTAATGGCCTCGCCGAAAGAACAGTGCAGACAGCTAAACGCATTCTTGACAAGGCCAAAGCTGAAAGAAAAGACCACTATCTGTTCCTGCTGGAACACAGAAACGTCCCAGTGGACAACCTGGGATCCGCTGCGCAACTCTTGATGAGCCGCAGACTGTGCTCAATACTCCCCACAACCATGAAGCAGCTGAAACCATGTATAATACGCCAAGAGGTTGTATACGGCAGGAAAAAGGCATGCCAACGCCGCCACCAGATATAATATACATATATATATAGTGCACTATACTATAACCGATCTGCAAGGCCACTTACACACCTACCTGTTGGCGCACCTGTCCGTTTCCAAAAAGAAGATGGATCCTGGAAGCCGGCAACAGTAACAAAGCTGGCCAACACCCAAAGGAGCTACCACATCCAAACAAGTGAAGGACTCCGGCATAACAGGCGACACTTACATGAGAACAAGGAGGATGCAACCATCACAGGCACACAAAACAAGCACAGGAGCCCAAAAGACACACACACTGCTAACGAGCCACAACATATGCCTGAAAACAACACACAGCAACCTCATTCCGAGCCCATGAACAATGTACCACCAGATGAACAGACTCATGGTTACACAACAAGGTTTGGTCGCACCATCAGACCAAGACAAGTCTTAGACTTGTAATTATTGCAAAGGGTGCAGGTGGATCGCTGCCCTAAAAAAAATATAAACACGCTGGACATTCAATACAGTTTTGCAATGTTTCTGTTGTTGGCGAATATGGCATGATAAGCCCACATACCGATAGGAGTGTTATGACGTTTATTTGTTCACCTGCCAGTGACATGCTAAGTCCATTCAAAGATAAGTTTACTTACAATAAGACAAGTTAAAATGTCTGCTAGTTATTTACACAAGGATCATTCCTAATGTGCAGTCACTGTTATTCAAAAGTAGGGAGATGTAACAGCCTGGCCATTCGGGCCACCGTAGTGTGAGAAGACAAACTCATGCGAGATAGTGTATGCTAAGGGGGAATAAAGATGGCTGAATAAAGAACAGACTAAGACCAAATTCCGTCATGATTAATGATCATTTTTACTCATACATATGAGAAGATATAACAACTATCATCAGTCATGTCAACAGTGGCAAAACTATCTAAACTAAACATGCACATAAAACCAGCAACACACGTCAAAATCATGCAATAAAACAAAACTGTTAAGAAATTCAAACAATTATTAAAAGACTTTAAAGCAACAGAAAACAGACACATTCCACTGTGTGACATAGATCGCCACATTCTAACACGTTTATGTTGAGATTTTCACTCGTAAGCATATTTTATATTTATTTTGAAAAAAAAAAACAAATAAAAAAGTTTCTTATAAAATGTTTGTATTTTTTAAATGAAGAAGTTCACATACTTATGGCCCCCCATTGACTTCAAACATGACTTTTTTTGGCCCTCGTCTTGAAAAGTTTGGACATCCCTGATCAGAGTAATATCATTACAACACCCTGCATGTTCCGGTGGTGGGTGTTGTGTCCATCTGAGTTCCCTCTTGAGATCTGTTTCAGCTCCACCCAGCCGCAAGCTGGAACCATCCACTCACAAAAAAAAAACCCTCACCTTACCCTAACCATACTACAAATGTATGTTTTGCTTAATTCTAATGTATGAAATGACTGTCTAGCATGATCTTTATGTTTGTTTAAGGGTTGTGGTTAGGCTAAAGGTTCAGACCGGTTAGTATGTACGTTTTTTGTGAGTGGATGGTTCCAACTCGCTGCTGGGTGGAGCTGAAACAGGTCCTGAGAGGGAGACTCAAATTGATGTAACGGGTCCATCGATACTGTTGGAGATTTATTGGAGTTCCTGATATAGCTCATTTTGATATAGTGATAATGATAAGATGAATAAATAGCTGTGAGTTGGGTTTTAGCTTCCAAAAAGAGAATCCTTCATTCAAATCTTTAGATGTTATATTTCTGTGCACAGCTTAGAAATGTTTGTGTTACAAAATAACTGCCAGACAGCTAATATATCACAGATGGTTACTTTATTTTGATGATCTATTGAGATAACAACAAAACAGTAATAATAATAATAATAATAACCCCTCCATTTTCTGAACCCGCTTTGTCCACGCAGGGTCGGGGGGGGGGGGGGGGGGGGGGGGCAATCAACGGGCAATCAGGCGGGGTACACCCTGGACAGAACCAGTCCATTGCAGGTTAACACAGAGACACACAGGACAAACAATCATGCACACACACACTCACCTAGGGACAATTTAGACAGACCAATCAACCTAACAGTCATGTTTTTGGACTGTGGGAGGAAGCCGGAGTACCCGGAGAGAACCCACGCATGCACAGGGAGAACATGCAAACTCCATGCAGAAAGATCCCAGGCCGGGAAGCGAACCCAGGACCTTCTTGCTGCAAGGCAACAGCTCTAACCACTGCACCACTGCACAGCTCACCATAATCATAATAATAATAATAATAATAATAATAATAACAGAGAAGGTGTAATGTAGTAAGTAAACATGCTGTTGAGACTGAATATAATTAAAATGACAACATATGCTACAGAAAAAAAAGAAGCCACCCAACAAAAATATCTACAACTTTTTCCAGTTTCACTATCATTAATTGGTCATCAAAGAATTACCCACAGAATGATATTATGTATATTATTAGTCATTTCCTGCTAGTCAGGTTTGTAATTTTATTTTGAGGTTATTTTCATATTTTAAGCTTGAATAACCAAATCGATCGATCATGAATACTGAATACTGATACGGTGGTCTCTTCAGCACAGTTTAATTTTTCATATGACAGAATTGTTTATGTGATTATGAGACTTTTATTTTGAAGCAGAAGTCTCTGGCTCTCAGAGCTTCAGTCATTAGATCCCTAGTCTTGAAACATCTGTGCAGTTGGATCTAAAGCCTTCCTCAGCTCTCAGCTCCAGCTGGACAGTGATGGTTCTGTAAAACGTTGCTTAGATGAGGTGATAGCTCGTTTCATGGAAGACTGTATTTTATGTGAATTAATCCACATTGGGTGCTCTAATCTTTCCTTTCTTTCTTTTGTTTTTTTTAGAGCCACCTGCACATCCAGAGAAGGATCACGACAGGCTAGCTGGACCATGAAACTCCTAACAGCACGCGCCTCATCCGCTTCTTACTCAGAACTGAACTCTGCTGAGTTAAAGAAAAAAAAAGCAAAACAAAAAGAAAAGATTGGACACATTAGCTTCAGCCCATGTCTGAACTCTCTCTGCTACAGAGTAGCATGGGTTGTTCCCTCCACTGAAACACTGAGCTTGTGATCAACCAGGAAGAGGAACCGAAGGACTGCCTGGTGAAACCATCAGGAGTGTGTGATGTGGAATCTGACCAGAAACAGAGCTAAATAGTTCTGTTGTGAAACATTCTCTGGAGTCTGTTTCAGCTAACATGATACGGTTTGTAGATGATGTGAAGTCAAACGGTGCAAACCCGGAATCAACTGGCTCATCTGCTGCAGTAGCAGCATCCTCCGTCACTGTCAGGTCTTTAAAGGGGCTTCGGAGTAGGCTCCCACCCAGCTGGCCTGACAAAACATTTACAAATGTGGTTTTCCTTTACTAACACACACACACACACACACACGCACGCGCGCGCACACACACACACACGCACACACACACACACAGGAATAAGACCCCACCACGCTCCCAGTGACCTGGATGTGATAAACTTGGACAACCTGCTTTACAGATACTTAATGACCTTTTACAGTGAAATCATGAATTTAATCACCAGTAACATAACATTTAGATTATAACGTGTTTTTTTTTTGTTTTAACATTTTTGCTAGTTAATGATGCTGAAATCACAATTCCCTTCTGTAGAAACATCCAGAAAGTTCAAAAATAACAGAACATGTAGGATGAAACATTTGAATCAGCGTGTGCAACTTTACAGTGGACAGTGTTGAACTAGTAGCATAATAATAATAATAATAATAATAATAATAATCTGAAACCACCGTTCCTCAACTGAAAGTGGTGAAGTTAAAGCTCTGGGTCACAGGAGAGGTCCTTCCCTATAGGGGAGTGAAGGAAGCAGGAGATGGACAGGTGGATCGGGGCAGGGTCTGTGGTCTATGGTGGTTCGGGTGTTTGGTGAGAATGCCTCCTGGATGCCTCTCAGGGGAGGTGTTTCAGACTTGTCCTGCTGGCAGGAGGCCTCCGGGCTACCTCCATCACCCAGACCTGGACAAGCAGGGTTGGCGAGCTACAAGGTGCAATGCAAAAACCATGCAATATTTTAACAGTAAGAAGAAAGGAAAGTATTTGGTAAAAGGCGTGAGGGTCTGGGCTCTCATTTACCTGAAATTAAAATAAATCAATTAGTGAATGACTAAAACTATCAAAATAAAAGCATGATGCAGATATTGTGATGGAGACATGAGGCCAGCTTGATGGTGCGTGGGTCCCATGTCATGGATGTATGGCTCCACCCAACCAGCTGTTACCATGGTAATAAACCACCATCCGCCCACTGACCCTTACCCCATCATATCTCATGGGAGGCCCACAGCATTCTTAGTCTGAGGATCTTTCTAGACTTTGCAAGGCCGTGCACCGTTTAGGCTGGTTTGTCACAGTCTCACAACATCTTCCATCCCTGCTCTGCTGCACACACCTTACTTCTTTACTGTTTGAGTGTTTCTTATTTCTGACCTGAGATGTTCTCAACCATCAATCAGAAGGATCCATGGCCTCCAGGTCTTGAATGACATTATTGTAAAAGATGAAGAATAAAACCTAAAACGGGTTTTTCTCAGTTCTGCGTTGATGTCTCTGGCTTCGTTTTCACTCTAACGGCTTTGATTTGGGTTCTAATTCAGATTAGCATTGAATAAAGTGACTACAGTTCTGAAGATGAAATTCCAGCCTTGCTGTTATGGTTCATTCTCAAAGCATACAGATCTCATCTCATCATTTATTTATTTCCAACATGCCAATAACATCACAATTAACAACAGAATATAAATCAATAATAAACCTCACAAGATAAATGAATAATAAATCAAGTTGACATTGTAGGCATGTTCGAAAGGGAGTGGGCGGAAGCCAAGCGTATTCAAGCCCACCCCTGTTTTTCACTAATAGTTTAACCTTCAATGTGTAGAAAAAACTCTAATTCAACAACCTTATGACCAAGAAAATCATAACAATAATAATAATGGTAGTCTAGACAATTTAACAATTCTTGTCAATATCATTATATATATATTCCCATACACCTTTACTCACATCATCGCCCATTCTCATGTGTGATGTAATTTAACCAAACTGTTCTTCTGTAGCGTGCTTTAAAAATCTGAATAATTTGACATTGTTTGTGATCAGTCTTTAAGTTATTCCATATTTTTATCCCACACACAGACACTCAAAAGCTTTTACGTGTTGTTCACACCAGTGGTAATTTAAATATTTTATCTCTCCTTAGGCTACATGACAGCTCTTTTATTATAAATAGCTTTTGTAAATTATTTGGTAGAAGTTTATTAAATGCTTTGAAAAGAGTTTGAACTGTTTGATATTTAATTAAATCCTGTCATTTTAATAATTTTGATTGTAAAAAAAAGTTGATTTGTGTGTTCTAAGAATCCAACCTTATTTATGATACGGACCGCTCTTTGTTGTAATATATAAAGAGGCTGTAAGGAGCATTGATAATTACTCCCCCATACCTCAGCGCCATAAGTAAAATAAGGAAGAACTAAGGAGCAATACAATACACGAAGTGTGTTGCAATCAATAAATGACTTGGCTTCATTTATTATCGATAGACTTTTTGAGATTTTTTGTTTTATGTGTCTGATGTGAGGTTTCCATGACAGTTTACTGTCTATTGTGATTCCCAAAAATATGCTTTCTTGTACCACTTCAATTTGAAAACCATCTATATTTATTGGCAACTCAAACTTTGTTTCTTGAATACCACATGTGGTAGAGTGGGAACTCTGGAAGTTATTTGCTGATCTGACAGTATCTTTGTCACACCCTGTCCTGTCTTCTCCTAGGTTGTAGTCTGTGTCTCCGTTAACTGCTCCCACCTGCCTCTTGTTTCCCAATCACCATAGCTCCCATTCCTTATGTATTTAAACCCCTTCTATTCTGTGTTCCTTGTGGTGTCATTGTTCCAGTGTCAGCGTGCGTCTTTACTTAATAAACCTGTGGAATTCATCCTACCTGTCTGCCTGCTTCCTCCCCGGTCTGGATCCTCGCCTTTGCTCCGCTTCACTCCGCGCACGTAGTGACAGAATGACACCACCCGAACCCGTTGATGGATCCAGCCGGGAGATTCTGCCCTGGGAGAACCTGCTCCAGTGGCTCACGTCCGACCACCGGCCAGCTTCTCCATCTCCTTCTGCCCCAGCTCCGCCTCGCCACCGCCGGCGTCGCCGACCTTCGGCCGCAGCGTTCCTCCCTGTCCTCCCGGAACCGGAGGCATGTTTGGACCGGGAGCCGCTGCCAGATCGCTCCAGCTATGAGGGCACGAGGCTGGCAATCTGTTCCCCCGGAGTCGGTCCACGGCGTGGGGAGAGACGCCGGAAGCCACCACAGCCCAGCGCTTCTGGACGGAGCTTCGAGCCCGCCGCTGGCCGTGCCCGACGCGGCAGTTCGGACACGCCCCCGGCCAGACCACCAGTCCCGTCTCCTGCCGAACCGGAGCCTCCGTCGGTTGCAGAGGAAGGAGCAGCAATCGCGGCCCGGCTGATGGAGCAACGGGTGGAGCTCGGCCGGTTCCGCAAGCTCCTCAGCCGCAAGGAGTCTCACCTGGACGCCCTATCCTCCTCGTCCCAGGGCCAGAGGAGCGAGCGCGGGGTTCCCCCAGCGGAGCTCGCCGGTCAGCGGGCTGAGCTGGCCCAGCTCCATTGGACGCTCAGCCTCAGGGAGCTACAGCTGGACGAGCTGACCTCCCACCTCTCCTCAACGCTCCAAGCCCTCCTAGCAGCGGCTCTGCCACCGGCCCAGAAGCAGACGGCACCGGCCCATAAGCCAACGGAGCGGGCCCAGAGACGGAGGGTACCGACCCGGAAGCAGATGGAGCCGGATCCGGTCCAAAACTCGGCAGTCCAGAAGTCGAGGGACCAGAAGCCGACTCCTCCGGGCCAGAAGCAGACGGCTCCGGTTCCGGTCCAGAGGTCGACGGTCCGAAAATCGAAGGACAAGAAGTTGACGCCCCGGGATCCGAAGCCGACGCCCCCGGCCCAGAAGTCGATGGTGGCCGACGCCCCTTCCTGTTCTGAAGTCGCCGCCCCTTCCTGTTCTGAAGTCGCCGCCCCTTCCTGTTCTGAAGTCGCCGCCCCTTCCTGTTCTGAAGTCGACGCCCGTTCCTGTTCTGAAGTCGACGCCCGTTCCTGTTCTGAAGTCGACGCCCGTTCCTGTTCTGAAGTCGACGCCCGTTCCTGTTCTGACGTCGACGCCTCCGAAGTTGTCTCCTCTGATGACGTCTCCAAAGTCGTCTCCTCTGATGACGTCTCCGAAGTCGTCTCCTCTGATGACGTCTCCCAAGTCAGCTCGTTTGATGACGTCGCCTCCCAAGTCGGCTCGTCTGATGACGTCGCCGCCTCTTCCTCTGAAGTCGGCTCGTCTGATGACGTCGCCTCCCAAGTCGGCTCGTCTGATGACGTTGCCGCCTCTTCCTCTGAAGTTGGCTCGTCTGATGACGTCGCCGCCTCTTCCTCTGAAGTCGGCTCGTCCGACAACGTCGCCGCCTCTTCCTCTGAAGTCGGCTCGTCCGACGACATTGCCGCCTCTTCCTCTGAAGTCGGCTCGTCCGACGACGTCGCCGCCTCTTCCTCTGAAGTCGGCTCGTCCGACGACGTCGCCGCCTCCTCCTCCTCTGAAGTCAGCTCGTCCGACGACGTCGCCTTGTCTGGGGATGCTCTCTGCACTCAAGAGGTCGACGCTCCGTCCAGCCCGGGGTCTCCACCGTCTCCGGTCCCGAGGGTGGTTTTGAGGGCCGCTCTGGCCCAGCCTGCAGAGACTTTGTCGCTGGCCCAGCCTGCAGAGCTCCTCTATCATAGACGCAGGCCCTCAAGAGTCCATCCTCGTCTCCTCTTCTGTCGCAGGCGCCGGCCTCCAAGGGCCCGTCGCATCCTCTGCCGCAGGCGCCGGCCTCCAAGGGCCCGTCGCCTCCTCATCTGCCGCAGGCGCCGGCCTCCAAGGGCCCGTCGCTTCCTCATCTGCCACAGGCGCCGGCCTCCACGGGCCCGTCGCCTCATCGGCCGCCGGCGCCGGCCCCCGGACTCTGCTGATCCCTGCCGCCTCTCCGTCGTCTTCTGGGCCCTCCCTCCGGGTCCCCCTCCACCCGCCCTGCTCCTGGTTCCTGTGGGCATCTGGGATCCGCCCTTTGGGGGGGGGGGGGGGGGGGAGTACTGTCACACCCTGTCCTTTCTTCTCCTAGGTTGTAGTCTGTGTCTCCGTTAATTGCTCCCACCTGCCTCTTGTTTCCCAATCACCATAGCTCCCATTCCTCATGTATTTAAACCCCTTCTGTTCTGTGTTCCTTGTGGTGTCATTGTTCCAGTGTCAGTGTGCGTCTTTACTTAATAAACCTGTGGAATTCATCCTACCTGTCTGCCTGCTTCCTCCCCAGTCTGGATCCTCGCCTTTGCTCCGCTTCACTCCGCGCACGTCGTGACAATCTTCAAGATAAGGACTCCGGTCAGAGAGCAGGGCACGGAGAGACAGTTTTACATATTTAATGACAGTAGAAGTATGGACATCTATACATTTCTGTGGTTCCGTGTGGTCTGGAAAATAAATACATAGAATGATGTAAAAGGACTGTACTAATGGTGAAATAAATATGCAAACGTTAAGACTATGCAAAAACAAATATATTCCCAAATGATGCACATTCAAGGGTTACACAGAGTAAGCACTGTGACTTCCAGCCTCAGAGGCACTGACAAATTACATGGTCTCCAGGGACCTCTGGTGGTCAAACCAAGCTACTGCTGTTGCAATTACCACACTAGTAAACCATGCTGCCAATTAGCCTGGCGTTCTACCACACCTCAAATGAACTGACGTCATGGATGGATATACATGGAGTAAATGGAATAATACACAAATAAACCTGAATTTAGCACACATAACACAAATTAAGAGAAGTGAATGAAATGCGGACTACAAGCGAGAATAGCAACTGATACCAACTGTAAGAACTCCCTCTAAATAATCCAAACAATATGTCCAGACAGACATAAAGGATACTGAATGAACTTATAGGCTATTTATGTATCCATAGAGGTGCTACGGTTGACCAAACTTACATATCATTCATGAACGCACACGAGGCTGTCTGCCATCACCAACAGCTTGGACAAAATGGTAGAAACGGCTTTACAGGAAGTGACTATGTAGAGGAAGTGATGTCACAAACTGGACCACCAAAATAAGAGGAGGGTAACTTTACAAATGGATCTTCTAGAACTGCCATAACTATAACCCTTTCTGACATAGCCGCCCCCGAATTTAGTTATGAATTCGAAAAACTAGAGGAAAGTCTTATCAGGTGTTTAGCCAGAGTCATCTTCATCTTCCCACGCTGGCAGTCACACCAGGCGCACAACTGGTGGAAGATAAGTCTGTCCCTTTATCCTCACTTCAGCTGCCCTGACTCGACCGTCTGAGCCTGGACATGTCTTGACAATCCTCCCGATCGGCCACTGGGCCCTGGGCAGTATCACGAGCGTGTGGCGAGGTGAGCTGAGGTGAGGCAAGGATCCACACGCGGGGAGGAACAAGGCGAACAGGTGAGTCCGTTTAACAAAGGTTTATTAGAGGCACACGCTGGAACACTGAAACAATGACACGACAGGGAACACAGAACAGAAGGGGTTTAAATACAAGAGGAGCGGGATCTATGGTGATTGGGAAACAAGAGGCAGGTGGGAGCAATTAACGGAGAACAGACAAAACCTAAGAGTAGACAGGACAGGGCGTTACAGTACCCCCCCCCCCCCCCCCCCCCCCCTCAAAGGGCGGATCCCAGACGCCCACAGGAACAAGGAGCAGGGCGGGAGGAGGGGGACCCGGAGGGAGGGCCCAGAGGAACCGAGGGACCACAGGAGAGGCGGCAGGGATCAGCAGAGTCAGGAGGCCTGCGCCTGCTGCAGATGAGGAGGCGACGGGCCCTTGGAGGTCGGCGCCTGCTGCAGATGAGGAGGCGACGGGCCCTTGGAGGCCGGCGCCTGGGGCAGATGAGGAGACGAGGATGAACCCTAGGGGGCCTGCGCCTGCGGCAGATGAGGAGACGAGGACGGACCCTTGGGAGCCTGCGCCTGGGGCAGATGAGGAGGCGACGGGCCCTGGGAGGGCGGCGCCTGCGGTAGAGGAGCCCTGCAGGCTGGGCTGGGGACACAGGCTGGACCGGTGACAAAGTCCCTGCAGGCTGGACCGGAGCGACCTCCAGAATCAACACTGGAACTGGAGACGGAGGAGACGTCAGACCAGAGGCGACGTCAGACGAGCCGACTTGGGAGGCGACGTCATCAGACGAGCCGACTTGGGAGGCGACGTCATCAGACGAGCCGACTTCAGGATTGGAGGCGACGTCATCAGACGAGCCGACTTCAGGATTGGAGGCGACATCATCAGACGAGCCGACTTCAGGACTGGAGGCGACGTCATCAGACGAGCCGACTTCAGGACTGGAGGCGACGTCATCAGACGAGCCGACTTCAGGACTGGAGGCGACGTCATCAGACGAGCCGACTTCAGGACTGGAGGCGACGTCATCAGACGAGCCGACTTCA